GCCTGGGCACTGTCCCTCAACTCTTCAGCTCAAGGCTAGCGCTCTACCACTTGAGCCACAGCGCCACTTCCAGCTTTTTTCTTTTTGCTTATGTGATGCTGAGGAATCGAACCCAGGGCCTCATGCATGCAAGGCAAGCGCTCTACCACTGAGCCACCTTCCCAGCCCCCATCACACATCTTTTTTAGGCACCACTTTTCTCCTCTATTTCAATAGCAAGGTCCCTCATGCTGGTTATCTTCTTGTTCACAATGGTCTCAAGCATCAGGGATCTGGTGAAACTCTTCTCTGGGTACCAGTTTTGCTGGGTACCCAGTGAAGAGTTTAAGGCAGAAGAAAGAGTTGAGGAGAGGATGTGCAAGCACTTAAGACATGGCTGGTGCTGGGGGAAGGGATGATCCTATCTCACTGGGCTGGCTTTTTTTTTGGAGGTGGGGGTGTCTGTCATGGGGCTTAGACTCTGGGCCTGGCAGCTGTCCCTGAGCTCTTCAGCTGAAGGTTAGTGCTCTACTACTTTAAGCCTTAATACCACTTCCAATTTTCTGGTGATTAATTGGAGATAAGAGTCTTGTGGACTTTCCTGCCTGGGCTGCCTTTGAACTGTAATCCTCAGATCTCAGCCTCCTGAGTAGCTAGGATTACAGGCATGGGCCACCAGTGCCCAGCATGGTTGTCATTTTAAACTGAGCAGTCAGAAGCAAGAAGAGGGACCCCATTAATAGAAATTGTGTCTACTTAAGACATGGCTCTCCCACTCAGATTTCCCTGCTTTGAGGGGATCAAATACTCACTGGGTCCTGGGCAAGATGGTTTTGTATGTTGTAGGCCAAATGCAAGGCCCCTGAGGGTATGGAGTACACTGCCAGTGCCCTTTCAAGAGCTGCGGGTGGATTCTGTCTGTTAACTGACTCTACTCCTCCTCTGTGACTCTCTGCTGGGAGCTCCGGGCATACCCTGGTACGATCATCAACTGCTTGGACTCACATGTGTGACCCAGACCCAGTGGCTATAATGCAAAGGTTTGCACATGAGCTCTACAGTTAGACCAGTCTTGGTTCAAATCCCAGTGTCCCTGCGACAAGGCTTGGACTCTGCTAATTTTATCTCTTTAAGTCTCAATTCCTCATCTGTCTAATGGTCATAACAATTTTTCTTCTCTCCAATAGTAAATGTCCAGTAAATAGTCTCAATTACACTTTTTTCTTAAGAGGCTAGGATCTGTATGGAATTTATATCTCCTTAGGGCCCAATATTAGATGACATGGTCATTACTTTTCTGTTGAATGAATGATTGGCCTTTGAGAATGAGACCTATGTTCTACCATTCTTCAATGACTTCTTTCTCTTGTTTTTGGCGGTAATAAATCGATCAAGGGGCCTCTTGCATGCTAAGCATGGCTTTACCACTGAGCCATACCCAGCCCCAAAGACTTCTTTCTTGTCAGTCTACATAGCTCTAGGAGACAGGGAAGAGGGGGATGGAGGGAGGAAGGAAGGAAGGAAGGAAGGAAGGGAGGGAGGGAGGGAGGAAAAGAGGGAGGGAGGAAGGAAGAAGAGAGAAGGAAGGAAGGAAGGAAAGTAGGAAAGAAAGAAGGAAGGAAGGATTCACTCTGGTCTTCTGCTAATGTTTGCCTAAAGTGAGAACCAACCCAAGCACAGATGGCTTCCACTGCTCTCCAGGGGCTTCCTGAATGGTCCTCATAAGGCAGCTGGGTTCTGATACCCCTTCTCCTTAAGAGTCAGGGGTGGGAGGCCAGATTGAAAAAGAGACAAGAACTTGGCCCTGGCTGACACCAGCTCTAGTCGGCAGGGCACCAGTGAGCATGGGCATGGAGAAGGTTCATTCCTGGCTTTCATGTCTGGTTCTCTTCCTAGACCTCCTAGGCCCTGTTATTTCCTCTCTGCAGCAGTGGAGGATGAGGAAAGGGCAGGCAGGAGCTTGGACAAGGCACCTCCACCCCAACGCACACCGTACTTCTGTCCTCCCTGCAGGCCCTGTGCGGGATGGGCTGACTACTTCACTGGCACATCACATTTGTACACATTTATGAAGAATAATGTGATGTTTCAGAACATGTATACATTATGTGATCATCAAACCAGGGCAATTAGCATATCCATCATCTTAAACAGTCATCGTTCTTTGGTTGTAAAAACATACAAAGTCCTGTTCTCAGCTCTGAGCTTTCATGTTAGCTCACCTTCCTGCCACTGCGTCCCCCGTGCCTCCCACCTCACAAGCCCTGTCCCTTCCTCAGTCATTCAGGTGAACAAGTACTTTCTGGTTGGGCCCTAGACTTGGGACCTCACCTGGAGCCAGTTGGCAGGAGGTCTGAGTTCAAATCTTGCCTTTGTTACTCACTGGAGATGAGACCTGGAAAGTCACTGTTGCTCTTGGAACCTCTGGTTCCTCATCTGTAACATGAGATTCTATAACACACCTTGAAGCTCTAGTGCAAGAATTAACAGCCGTATGTATGTGCATGAGGTATCTGACCCACAATTGCTGCTCCACACAGGAGTAGGTGGTAGAGAGCCGGGGCCCATACATGCTAAAAATAAGTAATCATTTCATTTCCTTAGCCTGATCAGTGCCAGTGGAGAGACCCTGGCAGACCCCAGAATTCCTCATCAGAGCCGACATTGGTGTTTGGTCCCTCTGGGCTCTGCCTGCAGGGAGTTGACAATTCAAGAGGCAAACAAAACAGGGAAAGCGACTCAGAATTAACAATGGACCAGATGCTCAAGCTAGTTTGAAGCAATAAAACATGATAAATAGCTTCCTGCTGCTACTCCTGATCAATTTCAATATTTAATAATTCCACAGCCCCCACCCCACTCCCTCATCTGGCCCCTCCATGGGCATCCAGCTCACAGAGCAAACACTTCTTGGCTTTCTGAAAGCATCAGCAAAAAGTGACGTCGCCTAATTGTCACATGAGCATGCTGGGTCCTCAAAAACGATCATTAATCTGCCTGCCTGTCCTGCAGACGCTCCACCTCGTGTCTCTCCTGTTGCCAGGGGAGCTGGCGCTGTGGCCGGAGCTGCTAAGTGCAGAGATGCAACTGGAACACTTGCCTTGTGGAGACTCCACTTGACTGTGGAGATTGTCTGACTTTTGCTTTTGAATGGAAAGAAAAAACAGGGCAGAGAGAGCACTGTGGTCATCTTATTCCAGGACCAATGAGTAGGAGGAAGTGATCTGGAGGGAAAACCTACCTAGGTTGGTGTTTGAATCTGACCTACCAACTATGCCTCTGAGCCTCAGTTTCCTTCTCTGTACCACAATCAGACCTATCTGTGGGAGAATTTCAGGCAATGATGTACATGTAAAGTGCCTGGCATAGCTGACAACTGGCAGCCAACATCACTACCAAACTGCTTTATCTAACTCAGAAAAAGCAGCCATGATGAGCATCAGTGCCCTACAGGGAGGGGACTCTGTGTCCCAATGTGTGGGCATGGGGCTAGATCTGCTGGGTGTGGCACCAACAGTCAGACAGCCCTGCCCTAGGCATTTCCACCACTGTGTCTACTAATAAAATGAACCAGCTTGCCTGGGTTGCCACGATCCCAAACGCTTTAGGACCCAGTGGTACGGAAGACCTTAAGGCCACTGCAGATGGCGGGCATCCTGGGGTCATTTTACAGCTGGCACTTTTAAACTGCAGTCAAATGCAACCTGGATCACTCAACCTCTGACTTCACATCCTGTCCCCCAAATCACAGGAACCAGCTGCTACGTGAGGCACACACCCCTTCCCCCCCCCTCCCCTCTGGGTATTGCTTGTACAGGGAGGTGGCTGGGAGGGGATTGTATGACCATCACCAACCTGAAGTTTACCCATCTGTGAAACAAGATGCCTGGTGTCTTCCATATTAGGTCATGGCGACACTTAAGGGGAGAATAAGTTTGAAAAAATTTGGTGATTCTGCCATGAGTCATACAAATATCAGCTATTATTATTAGGACTTTTTAACAAAACACCCTTTGTAAGGAGAAAGTTCAGGAACTCCTCGATCTACAGGTATGTTCTAATATAACTCTTCCCCACAGAACACCGATGATCAAGCTCAAATCCTTCAGTGAGCCATTCAAGACCTTCCATCCTCATTCCCACGCCTTCCTGTTCCTTTTGCTCCAGTCCATCTGAGATCGTTGGGGTGGCTTGGGTCCCAACCCCTCACAGGTGTTCACGTTTAGGCTCAGCTATCCCTATGCCCAAGCAGCCACACCCACCCTGCACGTCAGATGGTCCTGAAGGTCCTTCTCCAAGTGGCTCTCCCTGGAAAGGGATGAGGAGCTTTCTGCTGGCTTCCTTCTATTTGCTTCTCTCTATCTCAGCACATCTCTCACTATGCCGAGGTCATTTCCCCATGTGGTTCCCACCCCACAGAAAGTTTTTTCCACACCAGAGCCAAGTTCTCTTTAGTCTCTCCAACACCTGGCTAGCATGTGCTCAGTAAATGTGTGCTGAGGGAGAGAGTAAATGAGTGAATAGCTGAGTCTCCCCAAGAGAGATGTAGTCAGTCTTAAGCATAGCCAGAGGGTGCTAATGGTGGGGTTAGAAGGTGGCAGGGCTCGTGCCTTGGTAGCAGACAGTAACCTGGAATTTCAGTTCTACTTAGTTTCTGCAGTGGTGCCCAGAGCAGATCGGATTATCTTCCTTCTTCAGCATCACAGAAGAGTATGCACTCTGCTCCCCCACCCCCTCCCCTCAGTGCTTCTTGGGGCCACATGAGAACCTGGTGGGGGTGACCAGCAGGTACCTGACTCTCGCTGGTCCAGGGTCACAGAGTTCCACCTCCTGGTGATGTCGATGTAGAGAATGTCCACGGCGGCCATGGACAGGCTGCTGCTACTCAGCTTGCAGTTCCTGCAAAGATAGAGAGGACATTACCAGGAGAGGGACAGCTGCCCTGTTCTTTATCTTCTCCGGGGCCTGCTGTGGACTGAATATCTGTATGCCCCACCCCCAAAATGCATAGTGTGAACTCTTCTTCCCCAAGTGAGATTCATTAGGAAGTAGGGACTTTGGGGTGGGTTTGGTAGTCCAGGTCATGTAAGTACAGCCCCACTGGATGGGATTGGTGACTTTTAGGAAGAGATCTGAAAAAGCTCGTATGCTCTGTCTGCTCTTGGCTGCATGAGGATCCAAGTACAAAATGACCATCAGCAAGCCAAGAGACAAGCCTTCACCAGATCTCCCCTTCTCTAAACTAAGAATTGAATGTTTGTTGTTCTGGCATTTTGTTTTATTCATGTCAGTGCTGGGATTTGAACTCAAGGCCAGTAGGGTCCCTTAGCTTTTTCTTCTCAAGGCTGATGTTCTACCATTTGGGCCATAGCTCCACTTGCAGTTTTTTTGGTGATAACTGGAGATAAGTGTCTCATGAACTTTTCTGGCCTGGCTAGCTTTGTAACTTCAGATCTCAGCCTCCTGAGAAACTGGGATTACAAGTGTGAGCCACCAACGCCTGGCTGCTCTGGCATTTTTTGACACCTGCTCACACGGACTGAGATGATTTATTTTCGCAGGTTGTGTTTCTTGCTTGGAATTGCTAATGAAGAATAGCAGGGAATGCTGAGAAAAAAAGGCTGAACATATGACCGGGGATTAGATGGTTTGGGTTCCTATAAATTCAGCCATTGGCTTTCTTGGGGGCTAATGGGCTTCCTAGAGCAAGGCCATCACCACCACAGGCCTTGAACTACAGGTCTCAGTGCTCTGCCACTGAGAAGCACATGGCCTGGGTGGCTGATTCCTTCTCCTTGTCTGTGCAGTGGGTGGGCTTTCATAGCACTGTCACTGTTTCAGAGGGACCCACTCTAGAAGGAAATGAGAACGCCACGTTTCAGAATATACCCCCTTACACGTGTCTCCATCTTCCTACCCATCAGTCCCTGCACACGTGCACGGCCCCTTCTGCTGGCATCCTGGCAGCTGCAGGTGTCAGGTACAGAGGACCCCTGATGACAGTCCCTCACTGAAGCCATCACGGTGGGGCAGACACAAGACCCCGGATGCTCACCCGAGGAGGCTCCTGAGGCCGGCTGCAGACAGGCTCTGCATTCCTGTACTTTCCCTGTCTTAATTTTTGTCACCTCAACATTTAACATAAGCTTCAAATCAGCCCTAGGAAACTCACATTTCTGGGGCAGAACAGTATGGCTGAGCCATGCCCCTCTGTGGGGGCTGTGCCAGCCTTATGGTGGGGGAAGTGGGAAGAGGGGGAGCCCTCGGGAGCCCTCTGTGGGATGCTTGCCTAGAGTCACCTAGAAATGTCAGGAGGAGGCAGGGTGCCTCTGAGCTTCAGATGCTTCCCTCATTAAGTGCAGGGAGACCAAAGTAAGCAGCTTTTCACTCTGATGTCGGCAATGGTGCTCAATGTCCAACCGCAGAGCAGCTCAGATCAAGTGCCCCTCCCCGCCCCCCGCTTTCATTTGGTCTGGAAAGGTGGGCAATCTGGATTGAGATCCTGGCTCCCTCACATTCTCTAGCTGCCTGACTGTAGTCTGCTTCCTTACCCCATGACCCTACCCATCTTGGGCCTCCATTTTCTAGTGTTTCTATAATATTACCTTTTATTGGGGGAGTGGATGCCTGGTACTTGGTAGACCTAAAGCAATCATTCATTCCCTTCCAGATCCTTCCTCTCCTGCAGCCAGAGCCACCTGGGCCCTGCAGGCCACCAAGACAAGCATGCAGTGCATAGCACTGACCCATCTGCAGCCCCAGCTAATGAGAAAATGGTGCTTTGATTTCCCATTTGTCATGATCCCCTGTGGGGACAGCTCCCTGAGGAACCAGACAGGTGGGGTGCTGATTGGCAAGCAGAACTGGGCATCCAGAGGCCCTACCCCAAACCTAGGTACACCCCTAGTGATGTGGGGGGGAGCATACCCAGCATGGAGCCCAGATAATGCCTGGTGCTTCTCATGCAGGCTGGCTTGCCCCCTCCTTTCCTGCCTCCCTCCCTCCCCTTTCTTCCAGTCCAGCCTCATTTCCCAGGCCATCAATTCACATCCTGCTTCCTCCTGGGCTCCGGCTCTATATTTCAATCACAAGTCACCGTGGCAGACTTCAAAGCACATCAATGCACAGTTATTGGAACTCCGTAACAACATGTCAGTGGACGCAGAGTCTTTCACATCACCTGTCACCAAGATGGCTATCTCTATTGGGTTCCACTGGGGATGAGGCTCATGAACAACTTACAGGGCTAATTGCCAGAGCTTCATTAGGAAAAGGCCACGGGTTTTCTCTCATTACAATAGCTGTGTCCTGCAGACTACCTGACCGCCTGTGGGCCTGAGCACTGCCTGGCTGGCTCTGTGGGTTAATGGAACACAAAAAGGTAAACCAAACTGACCACTAGTATGTAGTGACTTTTTGTGACAAGGAGAAAATAGAAGTGTCAAAGCTTTAGCACGAGCTGTAATTTACCAAAGAGAATTCTCCGTTTATCCCCTTTCCAAGGTAACTCATCCTGCCTAGTGATGCCGGCAAACACTGTGGATCGTAACATCTGTTGCCGGGACAGGGGAGGAGGGTCTGTGCTGGCTGTAGGAAGCAGGAAATGCTTTCAAAGAATTTTGATTCTGTAGGCATTTCTTGGGCACCATCTGTCTTGCAGGCCCTTTCTTGCACGAGCGCTCAGAATCTTTATAACCACTTCATGGGGGAGTGTTGCCCAGTCTCATTTCAGTCAATGGAGTACAAAGCTGAGGACTAGCAGAAAGGCTTGGCCCTGGGGCCAGTAGCTCACACCTGTCATCCTAGCTACTCAGAAGGCTGAGATCTGAGGATCCTAATGTGAAGTCAGCCTAGGAAGAAAAGTCTGTGAGCCTCTTATCTCCAGTTAACTAGCAAAAAGGTAGAAGCAAACTGGGAGAGAGCTAGGGAAAGGATGACATTGTCTAAAAAGAAATGTACTCTTTACCTGACTTAGATGACTGTAATCCCTCTGCATATCACCTTTATAATCACACACACACACACACACACACACACACACACACACGCACACACGCACACACACACACACACACGCACATTGCCAGAAGCACAGCTGTGGCTCAAATGGTAGCTGGGGAACTGTAAGGAGGTACCCAGTCTACGGTCACTGAAGGAACCCCAGAATCAAGACTCCACGTCTCAGGCCTGGGACCATAGGGCTGAGCCTCTAGCGCACTGTTTTGGGCAGCAGGCTCATGGGAAGACAACCAGAATCCAGTGAAGACACCTTCTCCCAGGATCACCTTCTCCTGTGATCTCCAATCTTCAGCCAGGCTCACACAGAGCCACGAGGCCAACGCTCTGGGATGATTCTTTTTCTGATCCATCCACTCAATCAATATAAAGTCGCTTTCCCCTCCCCTATGTGCAGTCAGCTGTAGTCTGGGTTCAGTGAGCAGGACAGGGATAATGGGTCTTGGGGTGGCATGCCCAGAGGGTTGATGTGATCTGAGGCAGGGAAGAAAGTCAAAGCCTGGCCACTGCTGGATCATGGAGAACAGGTTTCTCTTTTGTTCCAGGATGCAGTTCTTCAAACAGCTCATGAGTAGAAGGCTAAATTCTTCAGTGGAGAGGAGTCTAAGAAATATGGTACATGAAAAAACCAGAAAAACTCCTAGGAAAAGGAGAGGTTGGACATGAACTTGGAACACTCCAGCTTGAAATCAAAGGCATGAGTTTGAATCTTGGCTTTGCCATGAGACCTTGAACAAGTCATGGAAGCTCTTTCATTGGTATAGTGAGACCAAGATTGTTTACTGGATAATGTTGTTGTTGTTATTATTATTATTATCTGATACACTGGGTTTGATCTCAGGAACTCTACCACATATTCAGCCTTTTCTATTATTTTTCTAATAGAGTTTCCCCTCCCCCCTCCCCCCCGCCCCTTAGGCCAGCCTGGGCTTCTATCTTCCTATTTATCTTGTCCACATACCTGGGGTTATAGGCATGCACCATTACACTCAGCCTTTTATTGGTCAAGATGGGGGTCTTACAAACTTTTTGCTTAGGCTGGTATCAAATCTTGATCCTCTTGAGCTCAGTCTCTTAAGTAGCTAGGGTTACAGGCATGAGCTCTCTTTTCAAGGGTGTTCAGTGTCTAGCACACATGGGAAAGTGGCAGGTGACAGTTTGATCTTTCCTTTGTGATGTAGAATCAGATTGAAAAAATAATTTTTTATCCTTCTATTTGGTTTTTGTTTTTCAGAATTGAAGGTATTTGGGCATATATGATGGGAGAGAATCACAAATCATTCAAGTTAGTTAGGAATGCAAGTAAAGAAAGATTTGAGGTGATCATTCCCATTTCCTCTTAACAACTGCTGACATCTCATGGGAAATTTAACAACCAACTTCTCCACTCCATAAAGTTCTATTTATAGAATCCCTTTTATATTCACTTTTCTCTGTGCAAAAATAAAGAAGCATTTTTTTTTTCCTGGAGAGGTTTCTATAAGGTAAAAACTAACAAATCACCAATATTTATTATAAGCCAAAGACAAAGACATGTCATATAAACATATGGAGAAGGAGGGAGATAAACTCTGATTTAAAATGTATCCATTAAAAAATTAGCTTCTATTTAGTTATATTGGGGGATTTCATTGTTACATCTCTATGCATTTTCACAATGAAAATGTATGCATTTCAAAAGGCCCTGGCTACCTTAGGAAGAGAATCCCACAGCCCTGGAAAGGGACTGTCATAGAAGAGGAGATTTTCAAAGTTACTGAGGAGTTAACATCAGAAGGGGAAAGCAATGTTCTAGAATAGAACATTCTAATGTACCGTGTCGCCTCTCAGAGAATGAAATCCCCTACGGCTACCCATAATGAATCATATTAATATCTCCTTAT